CGATATACGCATTACCTAAAGGTATATGGACTCGACTAAATACGTATTTTAATAGTTGTTGGGAAAAATATTAAGTATAGACTTTGCCTGCGATCACAGTCAAAAATCTAACTACGTAGTAATAAATGGAACAAGCTCACCGGATTCTCCAGTCTTCTATTGATTAATTTCACACACTTAATCGATAGTGATACACTAAGATCTCAAACCCCTTCATCGATCCAGTCCCTCCTAGATGTATATCCCAGTTATTTTTTTATTTTATTGCGCAATCCCTAAAACACGACTCCCGCGCCATTTGCCGTCCTTTCTTTTTCTTTTCTTTCTTTTTCTTTCATTGCGCAATTCCTAAAAAGCGACTCCCGCGCGCCCGCCGATCTGCCGTCTCTCTTTTTTTTTTTATTTCTTTCTATTCTTTCTCTAATAACGTCATAGATTATGTCACCGAAGGGTAGATATTTCAATAATCAGATTTAGCCTATTATTCGAACTGTACTTTTCTTCAAATTCAATTTAATTATATGTTAACGTATTTTGGTATTTTCTATTAATTTTATTATCGAATTTATAAAACTTTAAAGGCTCTCATAAACCTTATTAAACTGTGTTGTATGCATCCTTTTTACACTTGATGATAAAAGGTAAACTATAATTTGGTTATATATAAAATATAATATATTTTTGTTTAATTTATTTAATTTTCTTGTGACATCTACTACACTTTGGAAACACATCAAAAGGAGTTTCCCTTCTGTGTCAATATTTCATATATGGTAACGTCTTCTCTGTACACTATTGTGAACCTTGACTTTAAAGTTTGTTTATATTAAATAGCTCAGCTTTCGCAGCGGTCACCCATAGGAACCCCTGTTTCTTTTCTATGTACTTATGGTATTAAACCTATTGTACTATAGGCGAACCGTCACAACTTGAAATAGAAGGAGGCCCCCAGTTTGGTTGTATTTCCTTATGTTTGTTACCTCATAACTCCGTCAGTTGTAAATCGATTTGGAAAATTCTTTTTTTTTATCTGAAAGGATGTACTTACAGATTGATCTCATAGAAATTTTATTAAAATCGGTTCAGTAGTTTAGTTTTTAAATCAAAATAACTGGATTTACTAAAATTTAAGTAGGTTTTTTCTTGTTACTAATTAATAGTAATTTAACCATATATATATATATGGTTAAATTACTATATATATATATACATAATCGAATTATCTAAAGTTTATTTACTAGTTAACCCAAAATACATTCTTTTGCCCCTTATTGCTACCTACCGAGACAATTTTTTCTTATCTGGATACATAGTTACTGGACTACATATACACATAGGTACTACACTAGTTTTCAAATTGCAACAAACATAGCTTTATAAATTTTTTTATTAAATTCAGGTATCAGAGATTAGCATGACTGTACATTACGACACGCGATTTTTATATATTTTTTTATTTTTATTTTTTTATACCACTAAGGTGGTAAACAAGCATACGGTACCCACCTGACGGTAAGTGGTTACCGTAGTCACTTTACGAATTAAAGCAAACAAACAGTTATGTCGCTGTATAATAATCATAAAATTCCATACCAGTATTACACTAATAAAGTTTACACAGATGTTTAATAATAACGAGTTATGAAAGAAAATAGGAGTATACAAAAAGAAAAAAAACAGACACAAGTTAATTATACCAGAAGGAGACTTTGTGCAAAAGTTGTTTGCTTGGGCACATCTGTCCCATTCGTGTTTCTACCGTGAAGCAGTTGTGTTTGCATGGCTGTGTTTCGGTTTGAAGGGTGGGATATGGCGTGAATTTACTGGGTACAGAGGAATAACACCTGAGTCCTCAGGAATGGCCGTCAGTTTGTTTGCCATTCTAAATTGCATAAAAAAAGTGCATTCGTAGGATTGCTATCTCTAAAATTTGGCAACAAGGACAAGACGCGAGAAAACCCCGGATTTTAGAGCCCAGAACATGGTTATATCAACAGGTTTTTTAAACATAGTCAGTATATAAAAAACAGTTGAAAATGTCACAAATAACATTTTTATTTATTTCCAGACCTTAAAATTAAATTTAGTCATCTTTTATCATCATTTTAAATGTACCTAATAAAAAAAATTTTATTACAGTTTACTACAAATTATTTTAATAAACAATTAGAATTTTTTGTCATGAAAACAAAACCTTATTAAAATATTAAACGTATGCGTGTCGCGAGCGGTACAAGACTTTAAATTTTCAAACCCGGAATAGCCCCGTCAAGATGCTTCCCGGAAGCCCTTTAAACTAGGACAAATCCGGGAAAACCCGGACGGACATACCTCTGGTATGGCAGGCGTTCATAGGCTACGGTAACCGCTTACCATCAGGTGGGCCGTATGCTTGTTTGCCACCTCAGTGGTATAAAAAAAAAAGAAACGGACAACCCTATGCATTTGATAGGAGGGAAAAGTACTGTTAGCAATGGAGTTTGACAGCCCCATTGCTAGCAATATGCCTTATTAGGTCGACCTCGACGTGGTTCTCCCCGGAAACCATCACTTCACGTGCTTCATCCTCACCTATCATTCTTCACTGGTGCCCCGCCGGTGTATACCGATAGTGCGGGCGGGGTTACCATTCCATTATCACCCACATGCATTTGATACATATCGAGAAAACAAACATTTTGATATTGCCAAACGAACCGGAATATAGCAGTAAGAAATCTAACGCCACGACCTTTAGCACCGGGATAAGTAACAGGTCATTCCTCTTACGACGGAAAATTTCAAACAATAGATAGTAGTCGCACTGCTGAAATACGAGTACATTGTTTATTGAACAATTATAATAATATGTTTTGTGATAATAATAATTGGCCGACATGTTATCAACTCATTAAGAAGTACAAGTCTCCGGTTTACCAGTGCAAATGGGTTCCAAGAGATACTGTATCAATATATAAACAAACTAACTCTCCAATATATAAACAAACTAACTCTCCAATATATAAACAAAACTATACTCTGTTATGTCCATGGTACTGCTCATGTCTATAGGCGACGGTTACCACTTTTCATCAAATGGCCCGTCAGCTTGTTTCCCATTCTAAGTTGTATAAAAAAAAATACTTCCTATTTTATAAAATCCTTGTCAATAAGAAGGCTTCTTATCACTCGAATAATAAAATTCTGTGTGCACGCATCACCACTAAGCCATGTCATTAAAATCTGTCTTGTAAGTTCATTAAATGGCTTAATGTATTTTTTTTAATGTATAAAAATAGAATGGTAACCCCGCCTGCACTATTGGTTTACGCTGGCAGGGCTGGAAGGATGACAGGTGACGATGAAGCAGGTCAGTTGGCCCATCATGACAAATTTAACAATTATTAACCACGATGGTCTCCAGGGGAAACCGTGTGGAGGTCCACCTGATAGAGTATATTGCTGTTTTATATGAACGTTACGTTTTATTCAAAGAAAAATGGATCAAGGAACGGCAAAATATGATGATTTCCGATATTAACACGACGCGTTCAGGTGCCGAGTTAGTATTGATAGCTCTATATTGTTTGTCGTAATCCGTAGTACAGTAAAATATCGATTATCCGAAAATCCATTATCCGAATATTCGATTATCCGGACAAGACACGACTAATCCAATCCCATACAGTTGGTACAACTGAAGCGCATCAGAGACTTGGCCGCAATAAAAAGATGTGATTCTAGACGTCAAAGATTAATAACCAATTATTTCCAAATAAAATTTTAAATTATATAGGTATTAAATAATCCATTATCTTTATAGTTTATATTTTTTTTTATACTGCTTTGTCTAAATAACGTATGTAGGAACCCTTTACATAATAAAAAAATATTAAGTTTCAATTATTGTTTAATTTTACTTTGAAATCGATTATCCGGAATAATCGAAAATCCGGATAATCAATTAGTTTTATTTGATTCGGATAATCAAAATTAACTGTACTTGTATTATAAACTAGATATTCCCCGCCGCATTGTCCGCGTAAATCATATAAACCATATGTTAAGTCACTAGGTTATAACCTAGTTGTGTACCATATTTTATACAATCCATCCGGACTTTTTTTTTTACTTTTAATTAGCAAACAAATATCTAAACATTCAAACATACAACATTTACACAAACTTTAACGATTATAATATTGGTAGGAATTTGTGTTAACAATGTAAATAGGAGGGTAATTGCAGTTGTTTATTTAATATTCACATGATTACTCTTATCATACAAATTGCATACAAGTACATTACAAAGCACGTGTTACGTCGTAGGAACTATATTTGCCTGGCAACATTTCCATTCACTTATCTTTTATTCCAGTAGTGAACGTGGAATGATAACACTGTTTGCGCTAATGATTTACGCTGGCGGAGTACCAGTGAAGAATGATAGGTGATGATAAAGATGGAGGAAATATGTGAGATGAAAATCCACTCTTACCTCCCAGTGGGAAAACGTTAGTAGAGTTAAGTGAAATTGGTCGATTAATTGGCCCATTACGATGATGACACTGGGAACAAACCACGATGGTTCCTACAGGAGAAGGTTAAGACGACCTTATAGCAAAGATTTTATTACAATTATTTCTGTATTTTAAAGAATATTTCTCTATGAACTACTAGCTTTTATCCGCTTCTCCGTACACGTGATTTTAGAAGTAGGAACATCAATGAAATATACTACTTTTAGATGGCGTATCAATAGGAAACATAACATTAGATAGATTTTAAATTAGACTTTTAGGAAGACAACTGTAAAAACCGCCTCCAATTTGGTGCAGTTTTTGCATGATTCCGGAAAATACAGACGAATTTCTAAAAATTTTTTTAAGGACCACTATTAGTCTTATTAAGACACTCATATTATTATTTTTTCTTAAACATTATACACGTACAGACATGATCTAGTTACAATTTTATTATATAAGTAAATTTTTATAAGAATACTATATATTACATTACAGATATGGTCGACGTCCAGGCATAACAACTGCCGCGTTACTCCAGCTTTGCTGCAGCGCTGCTGTACCTTTCTGCCCCAACTATTGGACCTTCACTGCGATCAGATTTATCTTGGGCACCGCTACAGCAGGCCTTCTGGTTATCTCATTTGTCCTTGTGGTAGAAATAGTCGGGCCCAGTAAGAGGGAATTGGTGGCTTCTGTGTACCACATACCGTTATCGATTGGAGAAATGTTAATGCCAGTATTCGCTTACTATTTAAGACGATGGAACACATACAGCATTGGATTAGCTATACCCAATTGTATTTTCCTGACGTATATATTCTTGATGCCAGAGTCACCGAAATGGCTAATATCCGTGGGCAGGTACGATGAAGCGAGCGAAACCATGATCAAAGCAGCTGCAAGGTGAGTTCTTGTAGTAAATATCATAGGTATATGAATAGAAGCATCTACTTTCTCATATCTCATGTCGCGATAATGAGGATTTAAAGATGAATGAAGGAAATATGTATATCTTAGGCCAGTTTCATACTTTTTAATAATTGCTATGTAATATTTGGCCGTGTAGTCCCGGCATAGAATAGGCCACCCCTTCTTTTCCTGTGGGTGTCGTAAGAGGTGACCAAGCGAGGTCGAGAGATTGGAAACAGCGTCCCTCTTAAAACATCTCTAAAGCCTGACTGTGATTAGCAATCCGCCTGCCAAGCGTAACAACTACTGGCATAACCCTTCAAGGGAAGGCTTATGTTTAGCAGACAATTAAATCTGAAATACCTTTGGTCGGAGGAAAGAAGACAATCATATAGATAGACGCAATGAGAGGATGTAAGTCTCTGATATAGATAAAAATGCAGACAAAGATAATGCCCGAATAGAACTACTTTAGTATACTGTGAAGGAACATACATAGGTTTACGCGAAAGACTAAATAAATATCTGCTAAGCATTATAATGAAATACGATTATAAGTTTTTTGTATCTCATAAAATCCATGGCCTTCATATGTAATATAATGGTATTAATTTCTTATGAATCACATACTGAGATGTAATTTACAGCACGTAGTAAGACAAACTAACTTGACAGATGACATAAAAGAATGAAAATTGAAATTAACTTAGATTCTTTCCCAATAAATTTTGATGATTGTTTATAAATACTTCTCTTTATCCAAAGGTCGACTGGAAGATGTCACTTTTAGCGATAAGGTCGCCCATTCTCAATGTAATCTTTTAATTGCTTGTATTTATAATGAGTTTACTATTGTAATCTTTTGCAGGAAACGAAAAAGAGTATGTTTTTCGTTTTGTTTATTGGTATTTTGGTGGAATTTGGAATTCATCTCGATAATTGAGAATGTTTAATTAATATTAGAGTTATTAATAAAAATCATGAACCCCTGTAGTAACTAAGAGAAGCTTTTGTCCAATAACAGGATATAATAGAAAATGAATCAAATATTTTTCCTTTTAGAAATAAACTACCAACAGAGGGCATGAGAGACGTAGTTGACAGTATAGACTACGAATGTAACGTAGACCGAGCGAGGAGGGAGGAGGAGAAAGCATCATACTGGGATTTGATCAGTGTGGCGTCTTTGAGGATGAAGAACATTTACTCTTGTGTCTCCTGGTTCATCCTGGGAGTGAGCTTCTATGGCGGTAATCAGTACGTGGGCCAGACCAGTTCTGATCCATTTCTGAGTGTCGGCCTGGCGGCTGGGTTTCAAGTAAGAATATTCATACATTCATATGTGTTATGATGTTTGATAGAATAAAACTCTATAAGTCATGTGCATGGATGCCTATTTTTCTCTGGAAACATTATAGGTGAATTTTTAATATGTTTATTGTAATATTTCAACTGTAATCTGGCTAGGATTGACTTACGTATATTTTAATCGAGAATATTCGACTAGTTTCGGGCCCATCCGGGGACTTCATCTTAAAATACACGTAAGTCAATCCGGTTAGAATTACAGCTCAAATATTATAATATAATTATAGATTTAGCGATGATGAAGTAATACAATATGTAATAAATATAAGTACATTTGAACCGACTTCAAATAATTTTAAGATGTGTTTCATAAAAATATCCGACTTCAATTGTAACCAAAGCAGTTACTTTAATAAATAAACTATAGAATCAATATAATAAAATTTCTATGGAACCAATCTGTAAGTATATCCTTCTTCGTTCTTCGTTCGTAAAAAAACTATAAACCGAATTGAGAATCTCCTTCTTGAAGTCGGTTCAAAAGGTTACTTATAACACAGTTATATCAGCTGTTAACTGTCCACTGTTATATATATATATATATATATATATATATATATATATATATATATATATATATATATATATATATATATATATATATATATATATATATATATATATATAAATATTGACTATTATACTTAATACTTATAATTATTTTCCTTAATGTTTTATTCTGTTAAATTTTTTAATTATACAATACCTACTTGTACAATAATTAGTCCATTACCCTAAGGTTGTCTTGTAAAGATTGCTCTCAGCAATAAGACCGCCTTACTGTACTTATACAATTGTATCGTTATATTTATTGTCTTATTTTTTTCCCTATATTGTACAATGCAAATAAAGTATACCCATTCATTCATTCATATAGGCCTTTTCCATAAGGGGAGTTTTGTCAGTAGTTGCCACGCTTGGCAGGCGGTTGATAACCGTTTTAGGCTATGTTGATATTTTAAAAGGAACGCTGTTGCCCATTGACCATTGAGTTCCAATAGGTGCCTCTTACACACCTACAGGAAGAGAAAGAATGGCCCATTCTATGCCGGGACCACACGGCAAGTACAAGTGTAATAGATTTAATACTATGTGATCAATGCGATTTGCGAAGCAAAAAACTTCTGGATGTGAAACATAATTTGTATGTAAACACGCAATATTTAGGATGGGGCGTATTCTAACAAACATCTCATTGTTTATCAATGCGTTCATGATTGACACGGGCCCTTTCAACTTTGCTTGTTTACAAATTACATTTTCTTTGTTGTTCCAGATACCAGGAATAATAATAAGTGGTTACAGCTACAAGAGATTCGGTAGACGCAGCACGTCTATTGTTTTCTTCTGCGTGTGCGCTCTCAGCAACGCTGTGCTGGCGCTGCCCGAGAGCTGGCATTACGTAAAGCTGGTCTGCGGTGCTATAGCCGTAGCCTGCGCCGCTGGCGCTTTTAGTACCATGTAAGTACAAAAATACATATAATTGTATGTATTTATTATTATATTATTGAAAGACGGGCTTTTTCAGGCAGAAGAACCTGTGACACTGCAACCTTTCCATGATCTTTTGTCTTTTTTTCCGTCCCTTCTAATTCCTATCAGTAACAGGAATTTTAAGATTTTTTAAATTGTTGTATTTTTTTTTGCAAGAATATCAAATTATTATTTTGTCCCCAGGTACATATTCACATCGGAATTATTCCCGACTGTGGCGCGCAACATGGCTATGGGTGCATCGTCCACTTGTTCCAGACTCGGCTCTATGATCGCTCCGTTCATCGCTGGTTACCGGGGCGCCGTCTGGCTCCCCCCCACTGTCTTCAGCCTTGCACCGCTGCTGGCCGTTGTAGCATGCATATGCCTCCCAGAAACAAAGGGGAGGAAAATGGCCGACCATATAGATCAATGCTAGCGTTTATTCTTGTCTGTGCTAGTTTTAATATTTTTTTTTTACCCAACTGACAAAGAAACGTGGGTAATGTTGTTCGAGCCTATGTATGTATGGTTCACATGTAGTTTACATGGTTTAATGTATTTTATTTAATAATTGCGACACGATTTGTTATGAGTATGGAAGTACTATAGGCTACATGACGATATTATAGTTTATGAATGTTCCATACAAATGTATTCGTTAGGAAAAAACTCATCAAAATTTGTGGATTGGCGTGTATGTTTCCTAATTCGTAATACACCTAAGCCTTCGAATTGAAAAGATTTTATTTTGAAAATTTGGTGGTTATGCGTTATAAAAGAAAAAAGCGGAAAATGTAACAGAAATTAAATGTTCAGTACACATTGCGTAGAGGCTCTGTACCTCCACATTCCAATATAAAAACCTTCCTCTTTATAATTTTACTTTGATATCTGGCACAAAATTAATTTAGAATTCATATTTTCAACGTTGAGAGTACGTGGCAAGATCGCTAAATAACTGTCAAACATGTTCGATTTCCCAATTGTATTGCTTTCGTTTACACGCGTACTTCATACAATTTATTGATAAACGTCTCAACCTAAGAGCAAGGAATTACATAGAAGGAATGATAAAATAAAAACTGTAAATAATATAATTGCCTCCTTTCTTCTTATGCAAATATAATTAGTAAAAAGAGAACGAAAAATACACCATCAGTTGCTATTTTGTTTGCTAAAATGTTTGATAAGTCAATAATTTGTTAATGACAAATTTTACATTACTAGATTATATATTCGACACAGTTTATGTAGAAAGTATGCAAGCAGATTGTATCTAAATTTGGTAGGGTTATACGGCCGTATAACATTTTCTATACACTAGCCTGCTATGAATTGACAATTTTATCACTCCTTCTATGGAATTCCTTGTTCTTAAATCTTAAAAATCACTATGAATGGTAATTTCTTATTTTACAGCTTTTGCAGTATTTTACACACTTTTACACCGTTTTTTCATGCTCGTTTTTACATTTACGTCACGTGTGATGATGTAACGTGACACGTAAAGGAGAACCGAAAACATTTTTGCGCCAATAAAATACTTTTATATTCGCATTATTTCTTCTTCTATTTTAACACAATCTTTTATATTGTCTTTTTCCATTTTTTTTTAAACAAAACTTAACAGCATCTCGCAGTCATGTTGAATGAATCTAAAAATTTTTGTCGCTTTTTGACCCATATTTTTCGTTGTGAAAAATGTTCAGTTTCTTTAATAAAAGACTTCCTTTAAAAAAAAAAGTTAATTACCCGTATTCCCATTTCAGCGTGTAGTGCTCGAGGCATTTACAAGTGCTGCTGGCACAATGGGTGCTTCACTTGCTTTATACGGTACCGAGTTATAAATTTTGTTTTGATTCATGTGGTTGTGTTTTATTATTTGTGGTGCAATGGTGGACACATTGTCTTGTATAAAGGAGGTTTCGGGTTCGATTCCCGGTCTAATTTAGGAAATGAACTTTCTGAATTTGTACGAGTGTGGGTATTCTGAGTTGTGGCCTCAGTTTTTGTTGTCCGATTCCCCATAACACAAAGTATCCTGGCTTGAGGAGCAGGTGATTGGTGAAGTTGTTTGGTACTGATTGATGAGCAAGAGGTCATAGCCTCTTGCTTTTTATAAGGTTTGGAGTCATACATTTTATTTTGAACCATATGGTTGTGTTTTGTGATATAGTAATTTACGCCAATCTTTTTACAAATTTTCAAAAACTTGACAGGATTGTGTCATATGATTACACCGGTCTATTTTGTCTATGCTTTTAATGCCAAATTACAGGGCAGCTCAATTTAATGTGTAAAATTGTCAGGTTTTAAACCATTATAATCAATCTCCAGTTGGACGATTGGATTCGAATGTTCCCAAAAAAATCCTTAAAAAGGTTTGAAATTCTAGAACTATATTGACTACTGATCTTCTACAGGACAGGTGACTGGTTAAAAACCAGTGAATTTTTTTGTAATCTCCATTATATATATAGAGAGAGATGTTTCTCATAACACAGGGTATCAAGATACGAACTGTTCGTATTTTCTATACTTTTTTAAAATGGCGTCACTGTATTGCATTATTTTATATGACTATAAATCTAGCAATTCTGTCTTTCAATAAATTGGAAAGAAATTTTGGGTTTTTTTTTTTATTATGATTGTATTTAAACATAAAAAAATAGTTACGTTTACTTAATGGTCCTTCGAGCCGGATTTATAGTGATATTTTATAAAATAACGCAACACAGTTATTAATATAATAAGAAAAAATATATTAAGATATTATCTAAGTATTTAACGCACGGTTGTCTAGTTTAAAGGCCAATAGTGCAATTGTGTGAAGTAGCGAGGAAGGGTGAACACGTCCTTCTCATAGGAAGGATCCTGCCTTAGCAATGTATTTGCGTCTTATTTCTTAGCACTGGTCTCTTCCCATAGGAGTAGGGTATTAGTCCTTAATAAAAGATAATTGTCCTTATTCAATTATAGTTAATAAAAAATAGCATAATTAATAAAAAAAATAAAATAACGAAAGAGCACCATATATGTATGTTACTGTGAGTTCTGAAGAATGATAATTATACGCAATCAACTTGTTCATGCCCAAAAACAAGATGAATCCCAAAAACAATGTATAATAAGACGAATAAAATAATTATTTTACAAATGTATTTTCTTTTTAATATAGGAAATGGATGGAAAAACTCATTTTAACATTTACGTTATTAGTAAGAATTGTGATCATTTTTATGGCTCCAGGTAGTAAACCGCTACCTCACTTCCATAATTACTAATAGTGATTTGCAGCCATGACAACAAACACACACATACACACATAATACACATTCACAAACGTTCATAAACACAGACATACTGATACACACTGGCACAAAATGGTGTCTTCTGAAGAGCGATTAACTTGTTTTTATGTTCATATATTTTAGAGTGACACATAAATAGGGCTAAACATAAACTAAGGCAATAAAGTCACCTGGAAAAGTAATTAATTGGACTTATAAGGAAACGTTCATTATGAGATTTGATAGGCGATAAACTGGACTGAATAGCTGCTAGTGTGGGTGTGAAGGACTCAGGAGATGGTCGTAATGTTTTACAGCTGCGGTAATTTCTATTGCTGAGGATAACTATAGGCAGGTAAATTAGTTACCAACTCTTAGACTAGAAGATTCTGTTTCACACAAACAAACACTAACTTCAATTGTGCCATAACAAGTATTAAATACCTCAGTATTCTTATTTCAAATTGAATAAAACGCACAGATGGAGGATAAATGTTGGACGAATAGAAACGCGATGTTTCGTTGACAAATTAAAAAAAAAAATTGAATTTAGAACGTGGAGTTATATAATTCCGCGTTCTGAATTCGAATTCGTAGAAAAGCTACTTTTAAGTCTAAGTTCTGTAACAAGCAAGATTTTATTTCGCAACGAAAAAACTGGCATCCATAAATCATCGACCTAAGTCAGTATTAGCAACAATGCGTTATCATGATCACCATTTCAGCCGTTAACTGTCCACTGCTGAATATAGGCCTCCCTCTTGAGGGTATTGGCAGTAGTGGTAGAAATATATACATACATACACAAAATATACAACACAATTCTGCTACATCAAACTATCTTAAGAATCCATTAACGAAGGTCCCAAATAGCTAAATAAATTCAGTCCCAGTTGGCCCAGTTTGAGTCTCTGGTCATGCGAATCCAAGCTTAGGAAGCTTGGATTTGTCACGATGAGTCAATTGGCCTGACTTCATCTTCACCTATCACCTGCAAGTATCCCTCAAGTGTGTAACGATAACACATTAAAAGATTGTACATTTACAATCGGACATTAAATAAAGTACAAACAATTTCAAAATCCAATGTTATAAGCAACAGAATAAAAGTCGACCACTTTATACATGATTTCAGACAATAAAGTGTCGGGCAAATATTTACGTAACAAACACAACCCCATTTGGACCCTTTTAGCAACGGGATCAATTGCTGAAGTTTGGCCGGAACCGGCAAACGAGGTTATTGCCTTGGCCTGACTTAATGCAAGTTTTAAATTGTAAACGGAAAAACATCGCTTGACATAACATACTGCTATATATATTGTGCCAAGCTTTTATGGCACAATAACAATGGTTAATAGGCATTTTTATATCCCACATAAATTGAGCGAAGATACAACAATTTAAGAGCTGTATACCGAAGTATGGCTACGTGTGTATTATCTATTAATCCCCAAAAACAACTGAACAATTTTAATTATTTTATTAAAAAAAAAAGTTCTATGTTAGGGAACAGAAATACAACAAATTGTGCAAATGTATCACTAAAAATGTCTCCCATACTTCACATTAGAAAATTGATTAGTGGTTTTCCAAAACTGACATTATTTGTCAGTTTTTGAAACGAAGTTACGAAGGTGTTACAGTTCTGTATATACTTGTAGTTTGTTAGTACAGGCAAAGTGCTTAGGGATAAAGAGAATGTATCACGTAAATGTATAATAATGTGAACGGATAAAAGAGTAAAGGAATAGAATATTTATTTGCTTTGAATAGGCGATAAGAGGTTCTTGTTCAATAGGTGAACAACTCCAGCTGTATATTCAGCTAAAAACATATATTGATGTGTGGACTACATGAAAGATAAAACAACAAGGAAAGTAACTAAAATAAATAAAAATATAAATATACATATTATTTATATTTTTATAAATAAAAATATACATATTACATTTACCCTAAATAATATAGGCTAAGGGTAGGAAATGATTTACGTGAGGGAAGCTACAGGTGTATTAATAAAAAGATAAAACAAAATTGACGATACGTTAGTTGGTAGCATGCTAAAAAAAGAAAGATAATACGACGAAATTCCAATTTTTCCCAAAGCACAAGTATTAGAAATAATATTATATAATAACAATTAACGCAGTTTCATCAAGAACTTAAGTTTGTATTTTGATTTGCCCATAATAACAAGTTGCTTTAGAAAAATAAATCCGTTTCAATAGTAGAACTCTTCAAAAGGATAGAAACGATTTGGATTTGGATCTTGAATAAACATTTATAGATCTTAGTATACACTATCGTCTGCCTTTTGTAGTATTTGTATCTACGTATGAGACACTAGAGCACCTACACAAATTATCTAGTGAATAGATAATGGCTTCTGTAGAGCATATCCAAATGTTCACATACTTGAACTGCGGGGATCGGAATTATTCAGCAGCTATTGGAACAAGTGTCAGTAGTCTTTATGCAGTGAAGAAAGAAACGTTTAAATTCAAGGGAATTGCAGTTAAAGTAGTAATAATTATGAGTGATATTTGGAATTCTGATATTAGAACAAATTTATGGAGCAGGGCAAAATCCTACTTATTACGGAGTAAATCTTTTTGTAGACACATGATTGTGCTCCGTTCTAAGATCAGATCAGCTCTAAGATTTAAATCACAACTAACCTTAATAATGATGACAGAGTAGCAAGTAGTGCTCGTAGGATTGATAAAAAAATAAACTGTGTATTAATGGAATATATTACTGAATATAAAAGTTAACTTCCGATTATGATTACAAAACTCATAAACGACGAGATGTTTGTTAGACATCTACAAGATTATACCGAAAATATTTTAACTTATAACGCAAAATCGCGGGTTCACAAATAGATTTGGCTTCGTAACAAAAAATTTTTGCTCCTCAAAGAAAAAACGCTTCAATCATAAAAATATTAGAAAGTCGATACAGAATTGGCAACGTAATCGAGTAATAGTGTTTATATTATGCGACTTGTCCTGGCTTTACACGATAAAAAGATAAATTTGAATTTTATATTAAACTTAATATTTCGTAGGTATCTCTTATTTTTATTTTAAAAATAATATGTAGCCCATGTTGCTAATAATATGGCTTTCTATAAGTGAAATAATTTTATAAATCAGTTAAGTAGGTTTTGAGGTTATTCATTACAAACAAACAAATATACAAGGAAACAAACCCTTTATGATGATGAGTCAATTATTTAAAATACATTCGTAAATTTTAGAATGAATACTAAGATGAAGAGAATGTCTATGGAAGTATATCTTTAAAGTTCCCACTTGGCAGTGCTTGGAAGGTCGATGACCCGAGTTGTGAGATTCGCGAGCTGAAGTTAGTTCGATAAAATCCGTTTCTTCGTAAATGGGTCACAGGAGACGGCGACGTCTCGCCGGCTCGCCGCCGGCGGTGATTGCCAGAGACACATTACGTTACTTTGTCTCAGAAACTGCTTCAATGGCAAACTAGAGCATGGGATATAAAAAGTATAGATAAGTAATATCGGTGCCAGTCCGATATCTACATATTGGGTCCGCATGTCAGAGACATGCGGTGGATGGCGGAAAAAAGGTCATCACCCATTTTGATATCGCCCATACCGATTGGATATATATATTCATTTCCATACTTTTTTTTTACAACACAGGGGGCAAACGAGCATGCGGCCCACCTGATGGTAAGTGACTACCGCCGCCCATGAGCACCCACAACACCTACGGCATTGCAGGTGTGCTGCCGGCCTTTTAAAAAGGAATATACTCTTTTCTTGAGGTTTTTCTTTTAGGTTGTCGTATCGGTTCGGAAATACTGCTGCTGGAAGTTGATTCCAAAGAATGGTTGTGCGAGGAAGAAAGTGCCTTGAAAATCGCACGGTGGAAGACCGCCACTCGTCCAGATGATTGGGATGAAACTATAGTTTGTGGCGGGTTGTACGGTGGTACTACTTATTAGATTACAGATATTTAATATATTCGTTATTATTTACATGACGGATATAGGTATAGTAATTCCAATACATAGATATTAAAGTACCTCAATGGTGAACCTAATAACACCTATGGGATGTGACATATCAGTTTACATAGAGGTGATTTTTCGATAGGTTTTTTAAGTGATTTAAAAAAGGGAATTCTAAAATACTCCGTATATTTATCGTATCTATTTTACGCGATTACGTTACCAATTTTATATCAATTTTCACAATTCGTTTTGTAATTGAATGGGTTTACTCCCAAATTATCGCCTTGTGGTCCCAGCATAGAATGAACCACCCCTTCCTTTCCCGTGGGCGTCGTAAGAGGCGACTAAGGGAACTTAGTGCTCGAGAGAGAGGCCGCAGCGTCCCTCTTAAAGCATCACCAAAGCCTAACCGCAGTTGCCAACCAGCTTGCCAAGTGTAACTAAAACCTCCCAAGGAGGCTTATGTCCAGCAGTGGGCAATTAACGGCTGATATGTTCATATGATGACTCTCATATTAGATTCATTTTTTTTTCTGTTCACCAAAATCCTTGTTATTGCAAAATGTACCTTGTATTGTAAACATATGATTATGTTTTCAATTCAAATATTTTCACACTTTTTATGTGTTTATATTAAACGCTACAGAAGCGAATTTTGTATATATTTTAAGAAGTTTAAATAAATTTAATTTAGGTAAATACAATATTAATTAATTAAATTATTTATAGTTACTCTTCTCCATCTAAACGTTGCCTGGAAGAGATCGCTCTTAACGATAAGGTCGCCCATTGTTTTCTCACTGTGATTATTTCTTGTAATTGTTTGTATCTATAATAAGTTTACTATTGTAATCTTTTGGAGGAAACA